GAGGATGGCGACAGCATCGTTGTTTTACGTCTGGACGTCTCGAAAATGTGTGCTTTTATGCGGCAGTTCTATGGGCAGGTTAGTTGTGTGTGCATAGTGCGAAACGAATTTCCTTATTTTAATATCTTTGATGCTCGGCAGCAGACTGGTCACAGTGCGACGCATCGACGGACAAAACAGTCCAAAATTTGCTAGCTGAATAAATAGCAGACCAGAGCCCCCCGTATAATTGGAGGTAGTGTCAAAGAAAATGGAAAAAGCCTCCTCCTGGTACACAGCCGTATTATTAAAGTACTGGCTTATATACACAGCGAATTTTTTGTACTGATTTTTTTTCAGCTCTTTTTTGTGCCGCGAGATTCAGAAGAATGTTGCGCAGTTGGACCACACTGCAGCGTATTACAGTTCAGGTACCCGATGCTATATGAGGGTGAAACTGCTGAAAATATTATGAAACTTTTGAAAACAATTGAAGCGAAATCGAGTTGGTTTTTTTCTTTTATTTTAATAAACATTTTATAGATGTTTTAAATCCAGGGCTTCTCGTCTGTTCATTCGTATTTTCTGTAAGAGTTTTGTTGCACCGGTATTTAACATAAATTCCGAAAATTGCTGGGTGTAGTTTCATATTTTTAAAGATTGTAGCGCTTCAAAGAATTTACAGACGAAGGAAAAAGAAGCATAACAATGATCGTGGGAAACAAAGGTACGGGCAAATCAATGCTTACTCGAGTAATCGCAAATTCCCTTCTTAAAAAGTTTGTTCTCATTTTCTTCGAACACATTCGGCATATTAAACACCGTTAAATTTCATACAGTACATTACCATATGGGCTTGAAATTGTGGTAGGGCTTGAAATTATAGCTGAACTTCGAGGGTTAGTAAGCAAAATGGGGAATGTGTGGTAGCCATGTGTGGTTCATTCATTCGTTTCATTGGCAAGTTGGTAATGGTGTATTTTATAAATTCCTCACATCGAAAAGCCAAGGACTACAGCCGTCGAGAGCAACCAGATCTCCAGCAACTTGCAGATGTGTTTGCTCTAGCACTAGGAATCTGCTTCTGAGCTACCTTATAAGAGGTAGTTATTGACAACCTTGCTAGATTGTTATTAATGGTAGTAATAACTGCACTGAGTTGTTGGCTGACATGTCTTGATAAGGGAGGGAGTAAAATATATGTGGGAGGAATTTTGATTCCGATTTTTAAGTAATTAACGGCAGAGACCGACTAAGATTCACATTCACTGATTTATCAGCTCTCATTTTTTCCCATATTTTTCACATAATTGCGTGACTTTTTATATATTTTCTGGCAAATTTTATTAAATTTAGCTTTCGACCGTCGGTTTATATTCTCGATTGTGACATTGGACAAGCTGAAATGAATCCACCAGGATGTGTCTCTTTGCTGAAAGTGAATTCACCACTTTTAGGTTAATTTTTAAACTCGATGATGTGTCTTTTTGTCAAGGAGGAGCGTAACCATTTGCTTCGCATCTTCTTTGTCAGTTATCAATAAATGGCCAGCG